ATTACGAACTATACTATAAACCAACGATGACCGCCTCCGTCGATGACTTCTAATCCAGTTACTCTCTGGCGTGGTTCGATCCCCGGTGGGTCTTTTGTTAGTTTTAGCGCGGAGAAGGTAGTTCTAGTACTGGTGTACTCTCCAGGAAACGGTGGGATGGGTTAAGGGAAAAAAAAAACTTTTTAACCCCCCCCCCCCCCCCCCCCCCCGCCTATATGAACTGAAATACTGTTGGGAAAAGGCGCGTAAAATGAAAACAAAACAAACAAAACAAGCAAAACGAAACAACATTGAGTTGTTAATTTCTTAAACCAATGATAATATAAAACCTCGGAGTGTACGATCCAAAACCTTGAACATTAAAACTGTTAAAATTTGAACATTAATTTACTATTTAAGGAAAATACAAGCACTTTGTGTTTGTTAACATCTTTAAACATTTTGAGGCCATTTTCTGTTAAAACCTTTGTGAGTTAAATGAACTTACCTTAAGTTAGTTGGTAAATCTACATTGGAAATCATTTTAGTAGAAGTAACAAAATTAACATGTGCACGTACAAGTGTAAAGTTGTTACAATGACAGAATATAACTAATGTAAGAAAATAAAAGCGTCAAACCTAAACATTCGATACGAATCTATAGAATAGTTTTGCATTCAATATCATTTTTCTTTTTGGTATTTTTTATTTACAATTTTTACATAATATTGTCATCGATGTATTCTTATTCAGAATTCGGAAGGGAAAAAACTACACTGTCAAAAACTAGTCATTATTATTTTATTACCCCTCACTTTTTTCGTAATGCTAATTTCCCATAGGCCCTCTTGGGGAGTTATTTTTACTGTTAATGCAAGCTGTACCACGTGACTAAGAATTTTGTTTACTGTTACATAGGGTAACAGTATTTTTTAACAGTATAAAATCTGGTCACGTGGTCTATTTTCTAAATAAAATGAAATAAAATGGCCGCCATTTTTTTCTCCGATTTCATTTTCTGATTTTCGACCCGTTAAACCCAGATCAGACATCAATTTTCTTTCTCTGAGTAAACTATGACCACTCATAAAATTTAAGTTGTTCGCACCCTGGTGTGCTTTTTCGGGTATAAAATATCTTTTGTGATAGTCAAAAGTGAACATCTGTTTTCAACGGAAGTAATTGCAATGTAAATAATTTATTGTGTCCAACTGAACATGCAGGATTTAAGCATGCAACAAAGGATTATTTAACAATTTTAATCAAGTGAAACGTTACAGATATGGTGGACAGACATAGGGATATCATCGTTATTTTGTCAAAAACCATGCTCTAAGAATATTCTGAAACAGAAGGATCAGATTTTCACCAGATCATAACCGTGTAAATGGGTTGAGTGTTTGTTGTTTTCTAAATAAAACCTAGCTTATTTGTATGTTTATGATTTTTGTAGATATCATTCACTGTTTAAAGAATAAAAGTAAAGAAAACTTCTCAAGTTACACTTTAAACTTAAAAGGTAAGGACAGTTTAGTTATGTTACTCTTGGTTTATTTTTTTACAGTTAGATTTAGTTGACAATTTCAGAATCATCACAGTTATTTTTGTCCGGCGCGGGTAATAACATAAATAAACACATGGTTTGTGAGTAACAGTTAAAAAATCATCCTTCGTAAAAATACTGTTACCCTCGGCTACGCCTCGGGTAACAGTATTTCCTCGGGATGATATTTTTTACTGTTACCACAAACCCATGTGTTATTTTATATACTAACAAATCTGGCACATTATTTTTACATTTATATTACCGTCTCTCTTTATATGTTGATTTAATGACGGAATTGCACATTTTTCCTTTTAGTGTGGTTCCCTTCATACGATTTTACAATGAAAAAGATATCGAAGTATAAGGGGAATGAACTCCAGATTATCTTTCTGCTTTTATATAAGCTTAATGACTTGATTGATTACAAACCTTTGCATTGAATTGGTCAATTCTTCAACCCGCTATGTAAAATCTTTGCAACCAAACAATACTAAAGATCAAACAAAACTCTTACTTTACACCAGATAAACCAGAGCTTTTGTATTGGCCACACGTTAGGCGCTTTGTTGTCGTTCTCTTTTTTAGAAAGATTGGTAAAAACATTCTGATATGCCGGCTACAAACGATTGCACTAGATGAAATAATAGAAACTTGTTTATCAAGGACAGTAGCAAACTGGTTTTCATATTTTTGTTGTAATTGCATGTATTATTGCTAAATGCTTTAGTTAGTGTCGAGCAATGTTAAATTGAAAATTGGCATTTTTGCTTAATCTTCTTAATATGATTTAAAAATACGTGCAATTTGAAATAAAGAATTTTTGTCTAGAAAGCGAGTATCAACACAAGCCCAGAGTGGAATTACAAGGACACCAAGCACGAAAAGCAATCAATTGAAGACGATCAAATTAAAGTTGCAAAAGGAAATTTTATGTCTTCTATTTATTCCTGAATAAATACTGATATTTTAATATTCAGACAATGCACATTAATTATACCAAGTCATTTGAATTAATTCTCCAACGCGACCTTTTCTGCTTTTCTTATACTTTTTGATAAAAAACGATCGTCATTGACCGCGCATTGACGCGGCATAAAAAGGCTTAAAAGCACTCTCGGGACGCTTGTGCGTTGAAAATGGTTATTTTCATCATCTTTAGGAAGGATGTTTTAATTTATTTTAGTTTTTAACAAAAAAACATATTTTTCCAAGAACAAATTCAAGCTGAAGGCTGCTATGTAGAGACATCATTGCTGAATTACATTCTTCAAATTAGAAACTGATATTAAAAAGAGAAAACACTGTATTCAGTTAGGGCAAAGAGGGAGAGAGCATAAATATAGACATTTAAATTGAAATGTCCAATACTTTATGATTCTAAAGTTGTTCTTTTTGTTGGATGAACAACCTCGAGGAAATATAATAATATCTTTGTATTAAAATTGAAGGAAATGTTTAAATTTAACTAACTGCGGAACATTTCAACTTTTACTATAAACATTTCTTACTTTATGAAATATCACATTATTTGGAAAGACAATTTTGTAAGGCAAGTGAATTATTTCTAATGATTTATTTGATATCTGTGCATAGTACCATAATACTGTAATATATTGGATGTCAGATCATATCTTTACCATAATTCTGTAAAAATGTTGTACCGTTAGATAGAATCTGAAACGAAAATACTGTAACAGACTGGAAGTTAGATTATATATAGAACCATTAAACTGTAATACTCTCGAGTCAGATTTATTTTTGAACCACCGCACTGTTATTGTTTTGAGAGTTAAATCAAATCTTGAGTTATAATGCTGTAAACTACAAAATCTTAAAGAAAAATACCATATCTTTAATATAATACTGTTAAACCTTGGAAAGTCGGGTTAAGTCTTGAACAATAATACTGTTACACCATGGAAATAGATGATGAAACATAATACTCTAAAGCCTTGGAGAGTCTGATCTTATCTTGAATCATAATACTGTAAACATTGGACAGTCAGTTAACATTTTGAACCATGATAATGTGAATCTTTTGATAGTCATATGAAATCTTAGTTTGTCAAACTACATGAAAATCTTTTTTTAAGATTACCATAAATACCTTGTAAGTACACGTGCATAGTAGTTACAATAATTTTTTTTATAAATACAAAGAAAATTTCACCGTTAAACTAAATTTTAAAAATAACTTTTGCATCTATATCATTTTGTTTTTTGGTCAAATCTTACTTATTTTCCAAAATATTACCTCGATCAATTACAAAAAGAGAGATTTACAAGATAAAAGTAAACAACTCGAAGCTAACCATTTACACAAAGAACGTTTTAATGACATTTTAGCATTTATTTCTACCTACCGCATGGACAGACATGTATTTATGACATGAATCGTGATATAAGGAAAATGGAAAACATAAATACTATCATACAAACACAACGTGAAATTTACTGTCTGGATATCGCTAGATCGCAATGCAATATATCTCTATACCTGACCCCCCACACTCTCAATCATAGTCGTTATTACATTCTAACAACTCTGTCACATTATATTAACATTTCGCCACCTATATCATCTTTGTATGTTTATAAATGATATAATGTACATTTATTGATATTGTAATATTCGGGCAATGCACATTAATGATACAGGTCATTTGAATAACCATCTGCTGTTCTTAAGGTAAAATATGTTGTTATTAGGTAAATCAAAAGCATTGAGATGGAAAATGAAATTTGCCGTCGAAATAATACATTAACAATAACTAAATCACTGATACCTCTAAACTACTCTCTGTATCTGTATACATAAATCAGACGATTCGTTTCCCGATCTTCTATCTTCATGAAAAAAAAACAACAAAAAAAAAAAAAAAAAAAAAAAAAAAAAAAACGTCATTGACGCGCATAAAAAGCTCAAAGGCTCAAAGAAGCTTTCGGACGCTGTTTTGAAAAAAAGTTTAACAGTTATATGATGCATTTTTTCAACATAAAATTTTTGAAATATTTAGTTGATACAAAAAAGAATTTTTTTCCAAGAAAAAAAAATTCAAGCTAAAGGTTGCTTTGTAGAAACACCAGTGCTGAATAACAATTTCGAAATGATTAATTGATTATAAAATGAGAAGGGAGTATTGAAAAAAAAACAAGAATAAAGAGTCATTTTCAAAAAGGGGAGAGCATATATATAGACATTGTTACCGAAATGTCCAATACTTTAATTCTATGTTCATTTGTTTTTCTTTAAATAAAATTCGAGAAAATATAATAGTATTGTTGTACTCGTATTGAATGACTTTTTCTCTGAAAATATACTTAAAAAACCAAATGTTGCATTTTAACTTACTGCTGAACAATTCAACTTTTACTATGAATGTTATTTCTTATTTGATGAAAAAAAAATCACAATATTTAGGTTCATATTTTAGCATGAATATGTACTAAATCAACTACTTCAATATCATTTTAGAAGTGTTCTAAAGATGAAGAAATAACAATAACCAAAGAATTACAATTAAAGCTGAAGAATCTTGAAACAGATCTGGAAAGACAAGTAAGTCACATTTGAATATTTCTATATTGAGGCATTTAATATCTGCATAGTACCATAATACTGTGTTAGATCATATCTTGAACGATAATACTGTCAGATCTTGGATAGTCATATTGTATCTTGAACTTAATACTGTACAATTTTTAATAGTCAGATTGAATGTTGAGCTATATAACTGAAAAATCTTTTAGAGTAACGTCACATCTTTAATAATAAATAATACCGCAGAACCGTAAAACATTTTTCTATAAAAATCATTCCTTTCTCATTATCAAGCTTTATATGTTAACATGAACATATACTCAATCAATGACTTGAATATCATTTTAGAAGTCTTCTAAACATGAAGAAATAGCCTTAAAAAGAGAATTGCAATTGAAGCTAAAGAATCTTGAAACAGATCTAGAATTGCAAGTAAGAAACATAAAATATTTATATATGGAGTTATTATTCATTATATCTGCATAGTAACATAATACTATAAAATATTTGGGAGTCAGATCAACCTTGAACGATAAAATAGAATCAAATCTTAGATAGTCAGACTGAATCTTTAAATAGCTATAATACTGTGAAACCTTTGAGAATCAAATCATATCTAGAACCATAATACTTTAAAATTTTGGTGAGTCAAATGTAACATATAGCTATAATACTGTAAATGCTTGGAGAATAAAATCATATCTTGAAACAATACTTTAAAACATCGGAGAATCAGAACAGAATTATTGAATACCATAATATTACAAAGCCTTGGAGGATCAGGTAACATCTTGAACTATAATACTGTAAAACCTTTGAGACTCAGATCGTCTCTTGAACCATAAAACTGTAAATAATCATATAATAATCTAGAACCGTAATGCTGTAATCATTTTGCAAATCAGATTGAATCTTTAGCTATAATAATACTATCAACAATTGGAGAGTCAGACCATATCTTGAACTATAATAATACATAGCATTAGAGGGCAGATAACATCTTGAACGATAATAGTATAAAAACTTCGGAGAGTCAGATCATTTCTTAAACAATAATATAATAATGAAAAAGCATCTGAGGGTTATGTAACATCTTGAGCCATATTACTGTAAGACTTTTGATAGTCAAATGAAATCTTACCATAGAGTTTTACTTGGTAAAACTACATGGAAATCATTTTGTAGATTACCAAAATATAACCGTTAATGTACAAGTGTCAAGTGGTTACTATACAGAATATAACGAAAGTAAAGAAAATAAAAATGTTAACCTAAACATTCGATATGAATCTATAGAATGGCTTTTGCATCCATGCCATTTTCGTTTTGGTAAAATTGTTTACTTTACAATATTTACTAAATATTGCCATCGATGTATCTTATTCAGAATTCTAATGGAGAAGCCAAGATGAAGGAAAACAGAGAATTACAAAATAAAATGAAGCAACTCGAAGCAGATCATTCACGACAAGTACGTTTTGGTGACATTTTAGCATATATTTTTACGTGCATCATGGATAAACATACCTTCAACAATCGTGATATAAGGAAAATGAAAACATAAAGACGATCATACACAACAGAATGTCAAATTTACTGCCTGTGTATCGCTAGATTGCAATGCAATATATCGCTATACTTGATCCCCACACTCTCAAACATAGTCGTTATTATATACTTACAACTCTGGCACATTATATTTACATTTCGATACCGTCTTTCTTTGTATGTTGATAAATGATAGAATGCACATTTTCCTTTAGTGTGGTTCCCTGTCTACATTTACTGCGGAAAGTATAACGAAGTATAAGGGGAATGAACACCAGACTATTTCCGCTTTGGATATAATCTTATCACGTGATAACAAACCTTGTATGAGTTGTCAATTTATTAACCCGTTATCAAAATCTTTGCAACCAAAAGTACTATAATCATAAAACTCTTGCTTTATACCAGAAAAAACAGAGCCTTGAGTTGGCATATCACGTGTGCGCCTCCTTCTGTTGTCCTTTTTTGTAGCACGTCAAACATTCTGATAGGCCGGCTACACGCGATGCATTGGTCGAAATAGTCGAAACTTGTTTATAAATGGCTGTAGCAAACAGGTTTCATATTTTTGTTGTACTTTTATTGAAATGTTTGCTTAAGCCTTTAGTTGATGTAAGCAATGTTAAACTTTATATTGGCATTTTGCTAATCTTCTTTATATAATTTGCAAAAAATGTAAATTTTTAAATATAGACAATTTTTTCTAGAAAGCGATAACAACACAAGCGCAGAGGGAATTATCTGACACCAAGCAAGAAAACAAACGATTGAAAGACGACAAATATAAGTTGCAAACGGAGATAGACGAAATGGTTTGTATAAGTTGATGTCGAATATATTTCTGAATAATGCTGATTTTTAAAATTCAGATAATGCATATTAATAATACAGGTCATTTGAATAATTCTTAAAGTGGCCTTTTTGTTAGGTTAATCGTTTCATATAGTAGACAAATCAAAAGCGTTTAGATGGAAAATAAAATTTACCATCGATAATGTACATTAACAATAAGGAAACCACTGATACCTTTAAATTAGCGATCCGCTTTGTATATCTTAATAAGTCACACAGACGATTCGTTTTCCGATCCTCTATCTAAAGAAAACAAAAACTAACGTAATTGACATGCTATAAAAAATTGTTAACGCGTACTTTACGTTTTGTAAAGGAAAAACATTCCAAAATATGCGTCAGTAATCAAATAATTTCTTACATAATGAAACTTTACATTATTTAACTTGATATATTAACATAAATATATACTAAATCAATGACTTAAATATGATTTTCGAAGTCTTCTAAAGATAAAGAAAAAAAACATATTATTGAAACCATAATATTGCAAAGCCTTGGAGGGTCAGGTAACATCTTGGACCATAATACTGTAAAACATTGGAGAGTCAGATCGTCTCTGGAACCATAATACTGTAAATAATCGGAGGGTCTATAACAATCTAGAACCGTAATGCTGTAATACTTTTGCAAATCAGATTGAATCTTTAACTATAATACTATCAACCATTTGAGAGTCACATAATAATACAAAGCCTTACAGGGCCGAGTAACATCTTGAACGATAGAACTGTAAAACCTTTGGAGAGTCAGATAATTTCTTAAACAATAATATTATAATGAAAAAGCATCTGAGGGTTATGTAACATCTTGAGCCATATTACTGTAAAACCTTTGATAGTCAAATGAAATCTTACCATAGAGTTTTAGTCGGTAAAACTACATAGAAATCATTTTGTAGATACCAAAATATAACCGTTAATGTACAAGTGTCAAGTGGTTACAGTACAGAATATAACGAAAGTAAAGAAAATAAAAGTGTTAACCTAAACATTCGATACGAATCTATAGAATGGCGTTTGCATTCATGTCATTTTCTTTTTGGTAAATTTTAAACTTTACAATTTTCACTAAGTATTGCCATCGATTGATTAATGATAAATTGCACATTTTCCTTTAGTGTGGTTTCCTTCATACAATTACAATGAAAAGTGAAACGAAGCATAAGGAGAAAGAACTCCAGACTATTTCTGCTTTCGATATAAACCTATCACGTGATTACAAACCTTAAATGAGTTGTCAATTCATTTACCCGTTTTGTAAATCTTTGCAACCAACACTACTAAAATCATCAAACTCTTGCTTTACACCAGAAAAACCAGAGCTTTGAGTTGGCATACCACGTAGGCGCCTCCCTTCTTGTCAGTTTTTGTAGCTCGGGAAAACCTTCTGATATGCCGGCTACAAGCGATGCATTGTTCGAAATACTAGTAGTCGAAACTTGTTTATAAATGGCGGGCGGTAGAAAACAGGTTTCATATTTTTGTTGTAATTTTATTGAAATGTTTACTAAAGCCTTTAGTTAATGTAAGCGATGTTAAACTTTATATTGGCATTTTGCTAATCTTCTTAATATGATGGAAAAAATGTAAAATTTTTTTTCTAGAAAACGATATCAACACAAGCGCAGAGTGAATTATCTGACACCAAGCAAGAAAGCAAACGATTGAAAGACGACAAATTAAAGTTGCAAACGGAGATAGACGAAATGGTTTGTATAATTTGATGTCGAATATATTTCTTAATAATACTGATTTCTAATAATCAGATAATGCACATTAATAATATAGGTTATTTGAATAATTCTAAAAGCGACCTTATTGTTAGGTAAAATGTTTTATAGAGTAGACAAATCAAAAGCGTTTAGATGGAAAATAAAATTTACCATCGATAATGTACATTAACAACAAGGAAACCCCTGATACCTTTAAATTAGCGATCCTCTTTGTATATCTTAATAAGTGACACAGACATTCGTTTTCCGATACACTATCTTAAGAAAATAAAAACGAACGTCATTGACGTGCTATAAAAAAAAGCTCAAAAATAGCTGTAGGGACGCCGCTGTTTTGAAGAAAGCTTAACAGCATGGAATGCATTTTTCAAGCATAAAAGTTTTGAAGTTTTATATAAACACAACGGAATTGTTTTTCTAAGAAAAAAATAAAAGCTGAAGGCTGCTATGTAGAAACATCATTGCTGAATTCCATTCTTCAAAATAAGAAACTGATCATAAAAAGAGAAACAAGTATTGGGTCATTGGCAAAAGGGGAGAACATACATACAGACATTGTTACCAAAATGTCAAATACTTCATTATTCTGTGTAAAAACATCTTTGAAAAAATATATCAATATCTTTGTATTAGAATTGAAGGAAATGTTTCTGAAAATGTACGTCAAAAGTCAAATGTTGCATTTTAACTTACTGCTGAACAATTCAACTTTTACTATAAAAAAAACATTTCTTTTCTTTATGAATGCACATCATCCAGCTTAATATATTAAAATGAATATATACTTAATCAATGATTTGAATATTATTTTAGAAGTCTTCTAAAGATGAAGAAATAAGCATTAACAAAGAATTACAATTGAAGCTGAAGAATCTTGAATCAGATCTGGAAAGAGAAGTAAGTAAAACAAGTAAAATATTTCTATATGGAGTTATTTGATATCTGCAAAGTACCATAATACTGTAAAATATTTGGGAGTCAGATATTGAACCATCATACTGTCAAATTTTAGGTAGTCGTATTGTATCTTGAACAAAAATTCTGTAAAACTTTAAAGTCAGATTGAATCTTTAACTATAATACTGTAAACCGTTTAAAGTCAGATCGTATCTTAAAGGAAAATGCTGTAAAATATTGAAGAATCAGACTGAATTTTTTACTGTAGTTCTGTAAAATAGGGAGAAATAAAGAGTCCCTCAAGAACCCAAAAATGATCAAACTATAAATGTTGCAGTTGCGGTTTGATTGAACCTGTTCACGATAATGGAAAATGCAAATTACCGTCCACGCCGCCCACTAGCACCGATTTAAGCAAAATTCAACCTTAATTTTAATGATGGCAAATTTACTTAATGTCACCAATGCTCAATAGGGTATATGCGTTTTGGCAACCTTCTAAATATGATTAGAAAAAATGTAAATATTGAATATATATACCTTTTTTTCTAGAAAACGTTATCAACACAAGCGCAGAGTGAATTATCAAACAGTAAACAAGAAAACAAACGATTGGAAGATGACAATTTGAAGATGCAAATGGAGGTAAACAAAATGGTTTGTATAATTTGATGTATGATATTTATTCTTAATAAATCCTGATATTGTATTATTCTTACAATGAACATTAATATTACTGGCCATTTAAAAAATTGTTAATGCGTACTTTACGTTTTGTAAAGGAAATACATTCCAAAATATGCGTCAATAATCAAATAATTTCTTACATAATGAAAAATAAATATCATTTTAGAAGTCTTCTAAAGATAAAGAAATAACCATATTATTGAAACCATAATATTGCAAAGCCTTGGAGGGTCAGGTAACATCTTGGACCATAATACTGTAAAACATTGGAGAGTCAGATCATCTCTGGAACCATAATACTGTAAATAATCGGAGGGTCTATAACAATTTAGAACCGTAATGCTGTAATACTTTTGCAAATCAGATTGAATCTTTAACTATAATACTATCAACCATTTGAGAGTCACATAATAATACATAGTCTTAGAGGGCCGGTAACATCTTGATAGGTAGAACTGTAAAACCTTTGGAGAGTCAGATCATTTCTTAAACAATAATATTATAATGAAAAAAGCATCTGAGGGTTATGTAACATCTTGAGCCATATTACTGTAAAACCTTTGATAGTCAAATGAAATCTTTCCATAGAGTTTTAGTTGGTAAATCTACATGGAAATCATTTTGTAGATTACCAAAATATAACCGTTAATGAACAAGTGTCAAGGGGTTATAACACAGAATATAACGAAAGTAAAGAAAATAAAAGTGTTAACCTAAACATTCGATACGAATCTATAGAATGGCTTTTGCATTCATGTCATTTTCTTTTTGGTAAATTTTAAACTTTACAATTTTTACTAAATATTGCCATCGATGTATCATATTCATAATTCTAAGGGAGAAGCCAAGATGAAGGAAAACAGAGAATTACAAAATAAAATGAAGCAACTCGAAGAGGAAAATTCACGACAAGTACGTTTTAAATAGTGACATTTTAGCATATATTTCTACATGCAGTATGGATAAACATGCCTTTTAACAATCGTGATATAAGGAAAATGTGGAAAAATAAAGACGATCATACACAACAGAATGTGAAATTTACTGTCTGTGTATCGCTAGATCGCAATGCAATATATCGCTATACTTGATCCCCACAATCTCAAAAATAGTCGTTATTATATACTATCAACTCTGGCACATTATATTTACATTTCGATACCGTCTATATTTGTTTTTTGATTAATGACAAATTGCACTTTTTCCATTAGTGTGATTCCCTTAATACATTTACAATGAAAAGTAAAACGAAGTATAAGGAGAAAGAACTCCAGACTATTTATACTTTCGATATAAACCTATCACGTGATTACAAACCTTGAATGAGTTGTCAATTTATTTACCCGTTTTGTAAATCTTTGCACCCAACACTACTAAAATACTCAAACTCTTGATTTACACCAGAAAAAACAGAGCTTTGAGTTGGCATACAACGTAGGCGTCTCCTTTTCTTGTCCGTTTTTGTAGCACGGTCAAACATTCTGATATGCCGGTTACACGCGATACATTGGTCGAAATAGTCAAAACTTGTTTATAAATGGCGACCGGTAGGAAACAGGTTTCATATTTTTGTTGTTATTTTATTGAAATGCTTGCTTTAGCTTTTAGTTAATGTAAGCAAAGTTAAACTTAATATTGGCATGATTGGAAAAATGT